CGTGTCCCAGGTTGCCGATGACGGCGTCCAGATAATGCGCTCCGTAGAATTCGGTGTCTAGGTGTATTAATACCTTTAATTTGATGTCTATGTGTCCCAAGTTTCCGACGACGAAGTTCAGATAGTGCGCTCCGTAGTTTTCGGTGTCTATGTGGCACTATCTGGACCTTGTCGTCGGCAACCTGGGACACGTAGACATCGAATTCAAGGTATTAATACACCTAGACACCGAAAACTACGGACCGCATTATCTGGACGTCGTCATCGGCAACCTGGGACATGTAGACATCGAATTCAAAGTATTAATACACCTAAACACCGAAAACTACGGAGCGCACTATCTGGACTATTTATCACTTCATTCGCGTTGCTTGCACTTTTTGCACTCAGCGTCTTCGCTTTCTCTCTCTTCAACGGCCGAATATATATTTATTTCATTTCAAGTGCAAAAATGTTTGGGGATTTAAGCAACGCGAACAAACCTTATGTCTCGACATAATTAGCTCTGGTAACTTAGCCGGTCAACTTCGACTTTATTAATTTTCATATTTTTTTATCGTTTGTTGGTGATTGTTGGCCTAATTACAACGTTTGTTGGTTCTTAATTTTTTTTTAAATTTAAAAAGAAAAATTAGCATTAAGTTAGCCGAAAAAATTTTATTTTTAATTTCAAAAAAGCCTAATTGATGCGTAATCGTTTGCTGATGATTGTTGGTCTAATTTTAGCGTTTGTTGGTTTATTATTAGTCTTAAAAACAAAAAAAAACGAAAAATTATCTCACATATTAAAGTAATAGATTGGTTTATTTGCCTACGACTTAAGCTTTATTTCTATCAATTTAAGGCTAACATCTATGAAACTGCCATATGAATACGGGCCTTAACATCGGCAGAAAATCGCGAAAAGATCAAGAAACATGGTGGTTCGTGGGAAGCACACACACACACACACACACACAACGGGGAAGTGCGAGGGGGGCTTTTGGCCCCCCCCCCTCCCCCGCACCCACCCCGCCGGTAGGCTGCGTGGACCTCGCTTTACAACATAAAGTACATGCTAAGTTGTAAAACGAAATTATAAAGCACATGCATGGAGGGGTGCAAGGAGACTTACATGCGTGAGCGCACGTGAACAGAAAGGCTTTTCTCCCCCTGCACCCTCCCCCATGCATGTACTTTATAATTTCGTTTTACCACTTAGCATGTATTTTATGTTGTAAAGCGAGGTCCACGCAGCCTACCGGCGGGGTAGGTGCGGGGGAGGGGGGGCCAAAGGCCCCTCCTCGCACCCCCCCGTTGTGTGTGTGTGTGTGTGCTTCCCACGAACCACCATGTTTCTTTATCTTTTCGTGATTTTCTGCCGATGTTAAGGCCCGTATTCATATGGCAGTTTTATAGATGTTAGCCTTAAATTGATAGAAATAAAGCTTAAGTCGTAGGCAAATAAACCAATCTTCGATTACTTTAATATGTGAGATAATTTTTCGTTTTTAATACTAATAATAAACCAACAAACGCTAAAATTAGACCAACAATCAGCAGCAAACGATTACGCATCGATTAGGCTTTTTTGAATTAAAAAATAAAATTTTTCCGGCTAACTTAATGCTCATTTTTCTTTTTAAATTAAAAAAAAAAAATTAAGGACCAACAAACGTTGTAATTAGGCCAACAATCACCAACAAACAATAAAAAAATATGAAAATTAATAAAGTCGAAGTTGACCGGCTAAGTTACCGGAGCCGACATAATTTTAATTCCGGAGCTGGTGATTTTTATCCCACAATATTGGCAGCACTGGGTAGGTAGTGCCAACAGTTCTTACAGTACGTACGTGTGACTGCCGGCGTGTATTTGCGTAACCTTGAAATCTCGAAAACAACACTCTTGGAAGCTTGGAAGCTTGGAAAATAAAATCGAAAATAAGGTATGTGGCGATCACATACGTGACTACTTTAGCGATTTTAGTGAATCAACGTTTTGCGACATTTATACCGCATACATACATACATACATACATACATACGTACGTACATACATACATACATACATACATACATACATACATACATACATAC